TGGGGCAGGACCAAAGCACCCTGGGGTGCTGGAGGACAGTGCTGTGACATTTGTGCTCTCAGGAGTGATTTAACCTTTGTTGTTTCTAGATTATTTTTCTTCAGGGGTGGCCATTTTTGTTCTAGGAGAAAAATCCTAAACATCTGTGCACTCATAGTTTCTTCTGGGAGAGCAACAACTCTCCCAGGATAAACCGAATGCATGTGGCCAAAGATGTTCAGCTTCAAAAGTGGGGTAAAAGATCCTATGAATTGGAATGTTCCATTTCTATTTTTAAAAACTTCCTGCAAAATGGATTCTATCAATAAGCTTTTAAACTGAATTAATGTTGGCTGAGTGTGACATGCTACCAAATCAAAATTTGACATGCAAAAAAGTTAAGTTATAGGATATTTTGTTAACCACTTAATGCCCCCACAGCATTTTTTTTAGGGACAGTGATAAAGTCCATATCTTCAGTCTATCCTTACATATGTTGTATTCATTATGCAAAAATTATCTTTTAGTGGCCCTATTCCACTCCCAAAAACAAGCAACACCCCTTCCCCCCCCAAGGTTTAAACAGCTTAAGAACTATAGGGGAACAGTTTAGTCGCAACTAAATTTATAATTTTATTTTTAAATAAAATACAGACATCCAAGACTTCATATAATTTCTCCATGCGACTTCTCCAAGATTTCATGCACTGCAGCACTTCATGCACTAATTTCTTGCATCAGTAACTATCTGATGCAGTCAACAGTTTGCAATACACTGGAAATTTTATATATTTATAATGAAGCAATCAAGGCATTTTTCATAGGATTTCTGGTTATCTAAAGGGTTTTGGAGTTCAGTTATGCCTTCTGTTAATCTTCAGTATTAAGTTTATTTGAACGTTTCAGTTACTGTAATTTGAGAAAATAAAATAAAACTTTCTATGGATCTGTGTGTTATTACAAAGTAAAGACTGTAAGGACTAAGTACAACAATGCTAAGTTGGGAACTCAAAACCATTTTTTTCAGCTACTCAAACTTTCATTTAAAATTGGTCCAGTAAAATTAAAACAAAGACTGTACCGCCAAACTGAAACAAGCTGTTCCCAGGAACACAATACTTGGATAAACCTATGCTACCTTGAATTTTGTATTTTTCACATTTGGTGAAAAAACAGTATAATGCCTACAATCTAACTGCATCTTTAAATATTGAGGCCACCCTTCCATAATACATTGCTGCTCTTTTATGTTATGTTATCCTAGTCCAAAACATGCGAATGTATGATTTTTGAGCATTTTATAATTTCCAGACAATCAAAATGAAGTGAAAATTCTGGGTATATTTTTTAAAAGAGCAAATAATGAGTTAAACTTGCATCTGGCTGAGCAAGGAACAAAAATCAGTATGTATGTACTCTACAATGTATCAAGGCTACAATGTATCAAGAGGTTACAATGTATCAAGGGGTTCCACATAAAGCCTATGGCCAAATGATTGAAACTTCAACTAAAATAGCTTTGTAGGTATAAGATGCAATGCTAAGTGCTATTGTTAGAGGAGGAGTTGCAGAACTATTACACCAAATAGTGAGCTTATGACCCCAAAGGTTCAGTGATCTACTTTTGAGTTATGAGCATGCTCAGTTGAGGGCATGAGTTTTGGAGGGAAAAATCCTGAGGTGAATGTCACTTACACAGCCAAAAATGTCAAATGCAAATGAGCGTGCTTTGTATAGGAAGCATGAGTGCTCTGTGCATGGGTGTGTGATTGGCTTTGTGTGTATCATGGGTGACTGGTGCCTCCTGAATCGGGGGGGGGGGGGGGGGGCGTTGCCTCCGCGCGCCCAGCCAGTCAGTGACCGGTGGGGGAGTTCCCCCCCCATGGTCAATCCTACCGACTGGGGAGGGGGGCTCGTGGTCAACCCTGCCAACCCACAAGTGACAGCAGCGCACTGCTGGCACTTCCAGGTGCACCACTGACACCTCTGAGTGAATGCGATTGGCCACTGGGGGACCACAGGGATCACTTCTCCTGGTGCCCCCACTCCCCAGCCAGCGCTCTCAGGGGGGGCACCAGTGCTCTCAGGGGGACCCCCTACATGTTGGGACTGGTGTGTGATTGACAGGTGACAGTGGAAGGAGTATAAAAGGGAAAGGTTTGAGGTCTGGGTCTTCTTTTTTTCTCTCCCTCATCTTGTCTTGAGTAAGCGTCTGGAGCGAGCAAGGGCCCAGAACCGCCTGACTCCTCCGTTCATCTGCGTGTTTGTGGCTTCAGTCAGTGTCAGAGTGCAAGTACAAGGGATCGTAGACCAGTTGGGTCTGAGCAGAGTGGGTGATAGCTGAGGCAGGTAATCCCCTTTGTGTGTGTGTGTATGATAAGAGGTTGGTGAGAGCTGGGGCAGCCAATATCCCCTCTCCATACAGGTGTGTGTGGTCCCTTGGGAACTACTGTTACAGTTCAAATTACACTTTGATTGACTCTTAAGGGGGTCTGAAAAAATAATTGGACTGCCCGTCACAATGCTCTAATTGGAGACCCCCCAGGTTATGATTTTCAAAGCTTACAAGGGTGCAGGCTCTCACCTCATGTGGAAGGGGCTCCCTTTCAGTCATGGTGCTAGTCAGTTTGGTGCCACCAAGCCTATAAGTATATTAGGATTGTCGTCCCCAGACGGAGCACTTTACACGTCTCAATGTTGAACTTCATCTGGTTTTGATCCATCCAATTTGCCAACCTGTCTAGGTCTGCCTGTATATGCAGCCTGTTTTCAAGTGTGACCACGCTCCCCCAGAACCTGGTATTGTTCATGAACTTGGCCTGTGAGCTCTTCACCCCCACATCCAAATCATTGATAAAGATGTTGAAAAGCACTGGACCAAGCACAGACCCCTGAGGGACACCACTGGCCACTGCTCAGCAGGATGAGACAGATCCATTCATTAGAACTCTCTGGGTCCTACCCCACAGCCAGCATCCTACCCACCTGACTGTCAAGCAGTTAAGCCCACAATCCTCCAATTTTCCCGTGAGAACATCATGGCATACCAGAGTATGGGGGGGGCACATAGATGAGAGAGGGATACCATATTTACTTTAATCCAAGATGAGGATTTTTTTTCCTCCAGACAACATGGGACAAAAAACCCTTAATCTTGGATTCAAGTACCAGCCCAGGGCAAATGACAGGTCAGCTCTGTCTTTGGCCCTGGCCTCAGGGCTGAAGCCAGATCTGAGCTGCTCCCTGCCTTGGGTTGAACAGGCTCATTTGGTGGGAGAGAGACCACACAACTAGGTGGAGTTTTGGGGAGACTTCAGGGGGAAGGGGAGACTGTAGCCTGCACCCTTACCTTGTTAGCATTATTTAGCTGTGCAGTAATGTGTGTGTAGTATATCCAATCCAAAAAAAGTACATATACAGGCTTTTACATGCTGCTTGCATACTGTATTACAAAGGGAGCTATATGAAAAGGTAGCCCTCTGAAAAAAAACACTGCATGTCTTCTAAAGGTTCGTGTTTTCAGATGGACATTACAGCAAGTGAATCGGAGAGTACAGTTTGAATTTCCAGTGCTGCATGCCCCCTCCCCCCCCCCCCACATCACCTGGATCAAGCCCACTGTCCTTGCCCCCTTTCAGCCTGGATTGGGCCTGCCATGGGTTCCAACCCCCACCCCCCCAGTACCTCCACCCCTAGGGCTACTTCTTTGACTCTTCGGGTTTCTCCCTTTTCATCCCACAACTTGGGGCTCCTCCCCACCCCTGTATCTCCCAGTTTACCTGCAACTCCTAGCATGTCCCAGCAGAGCAATCAGAGAAGGGGATCCTGATGCTGTGATTCCTCTCTGGGCTGAGCCCAGTCCAGAGAGCGACAGCAGCAGGGCAGGTTCTTATTCCCTACTTGCTCCTCTGGGATACTGCCAGGAGCTGCAGGTAAGCCAGGAGACATGGGGGGAGGGGAGCAGGGAGGGAGCCACAAGGGTTGGGGGGAAAAGGGAGGGAGGGAGAGCAAGTGGCACAGAGGGAGCCCTGGGGCTCAGAGGGATGAGGGGGGCAGTGGTGGGCCTATTGCAGGCCTACAGGGGGGCGTAGCCCCCACCACACCCATGGATCAGGGCTATGCCCGCCCATTACCCCAGATCCTAACTTAGTCCCATTTCCCCCCCCCAGAGTACCCCCCTCCTGTCCACAGCTCCTGGATGTCCTGCAGCTCTCAATGGAGTGAGAAGGAAAGGGGAACTTGGGGGCAGAGGGGGAGCCCTGGGGGTAGGATAGAGAGAGAGTTCCAAGGAGCAAGGGGAGGGAAGCCTGGGACCAGGAGGTCAGAGGGGAAATCCTGAGGGACGGGGGGCAGACGGGAGAGACCTAGGTTCTGGAAAGTACCTGGAGTGGGAGGGGCAGGGGGATTCTTACCTTTAGGTGCTCTTCTGGCTGCCCTCGGTGTCACTGTGGTGAAAGACAAGGGGGGTGTGGTAATATGACAATCTTATCATCTTAGGCTGTATGTGAAATTGGCAGAATCTCTAGGCTTGTGAATTGAATTACTGAAATGAGTAGACAAAGCAGATGATTTTTTGGAGATAAAATGATGCAGTTGCTTCATGTTTACAAGAAGACAAGAGGAGAAAGAAATTGAATGGACATAGCAGGACATGAGGAACCTCCTAAAGGCAGTGAAAGGGTGGAACAGTATTAAAACTTGTTTCAGTGATCCAGGCATATAACTGTCTGGATTTGCTTCTGTTTTGAGAAATCCTATTTTCCAAAAATTTGGGAAAACTGAAGGTATCTGGACTTGTAAGAAGTGTTTTTGAATATGTAATTCAAGAAAGGAAGATGATTCTTGTCATGTCACATATATATCAAAAACAGTTCTCTGTAATTCCCATTTGGTGTTCACACAAGAAAAGGCTCCAGAAAACCAAGTTGTGATGTAGTGAATCAAACAGTACTTGTGTATTAATAATGTTCATATACCAGCCTATATATTTACACGTTGTCTGTTTTCTTTTATGTGTTCAGTGACTAACAAGAAACCAACTCAGGCATCTATTACAAAAGTCAAACAGTTTGAAGGTTCCACATCCTTTGTAAGGAGATCCCAGTGGATGCTTGAGCAGCTTTGTCAAGTCAACGGTATAGACCCAAATAGGGTGAGTATATTGTGCGATTTTTGGAGAGAATCATTTAATTTAATAGGGGTTTTTCCCCCTTTTATTGTCAAGGCTCAAAGACATTGTGTTTACTATCAGAGGGACCCTTTTAAACTAATGACTACTCCCATTGCTTCTACCTCACACGAATGGTCAAAGACAACTTTTGGTTTTTATGTGCCAGTGTATAATCAAAGTACACTCAAAGTGCCCATATTTAAGTGGACACGGTTCTTTGGGTGAATCTGATAACTTTTATTAGACCAACTTAAATAGTTGGAAAACAATTAAAGAAAGCTTTCAGGTTCAAAAAACCCTTCGTCAGGCTAAGGAAGTTTCAGCAGTTGGTGTGTGCTCTTCCTAGATGGATGCACCAACTACTGAAACATTCTTAGCCTGAAAAAGATTCACCCAAAGAACCTTGTCTGCCTATGTCCTTAGACCAACACGACTACAACCTACACCCATATTTAAGTGTTAACTTTTGAATGTCCTTGGAGGACTATACCTTTTCTCCCAATTTTAGTATGAAGGATTGGAATGGGCTAAGCTAAATGTCATTTTTCTTCTTCATTCCTACTCTTCTGTTTGCCTTGACTTCTAAAAAGAAAAATACCTGTCTTTTGTCACTCAATCTCCAATAAAGGAGAAGCTTGCTTTTATTGGCCTTCATGTCATCACAGAGCCATGATCAGTATAGAGTATGGAGCTCTGTATTCCCAGGTGGTACTTCCAGTAAGACTGAGCAATACTGGGGATATTGCTTCAGGAGTATGAGATGAACAGCTTATGAAAGTGGATCTGCCAATAAATCTTAACTGCAGTTCCCCCTTACAAACTGCCCCTGTTCATAAAACTGGCAGTGACGGTGTAAAACTCTGTTGTCCCAGCAAGTAAAGATGCAGTTTTCACAGTGGTAAAATTATTTGTTTGAGGTTTTCTCCTCTCAAAACTTCTGAGTTGTTTCTTACCCCAGTGTAAAGCATATGATATCTGTCTGTGGTGAGTCTGCACCAAACAGATTCATGCACAATAAATTTAATTAGGCTGAAATCTTAAGATAAAATATTTTATAACCAGGGATCTGGGTTTTTCATTTCCCATGGAAAAACAGAAAACCATGGATTTCCTGTTTTTATCAGAGAAAACACAGATTTTTCCTTTTAGTAGAGAAACCTGCAATTTTCCCGCTTTTGCAAAGAGCTGTGCAGGCGGGCAGAGTTCCAGCCTGCAAGAGCTAATTGCAGAAAGGGCGGGAAACTCTGCCTGAAGGGGGAGGGAGAGAGGGAAGGGCAGGGCCTGAGGCTCTTGCTCACCCAGTTTGGATCAGGCTTGAATCAGACTCACTTTCCTTCTGGGAGACTGTGAGATAAGTGGGGCACTGGCAGGGCTGGAATGAAAGCTGGCTGTGGGAAACTGCTTTGAGGGGTGCAGCCACACGCTGCTGCCCTCGTTCCAGCCCTGTGTGCAGGAGGCACATCGCCAGGGCAGCACGGGACAAGCAGCAGCAGGGAAATCCCTGCGCGGTTCCACTGCTGTTTACCAGGCTGGGTCATGCCTACCTGGCTGGGGAGAAAAGCAGGGACCAGCAGAGCCATGCGGAGAAGCTGCTAGCCGCTGTTTTCTGCCACCGTGCTTCTCTCCCCCACGGCCTCTGCAGTCTTGCAGGCACGACCCAGCATGGCAGGCAGCAGCAGAGCCATGCGGGGATCTCCTTGCCATTACCCCGCCTCCTCTTCCCCCTTGCTGCCCTGGGGACGCACCTCCAGCGCCTGCCACTGCTTTGAGGGGTGCAGCCCCATGCGCAGGAGGCACGTCACCAGGTCAGCGCATGGCGGGCAGCAGCAGGGAGATCTCCATGCGACTCTGCTGCTGCCGGGTCATGCCTGCAGGTCTGGGGAGGCCCCAGGGGAAAGAAGCAGGGAGCAGTGGAGCCATGTGGAGAAGCTGCTCACTGCTGTTCCCTGCTGCCCTACTTTTCTTCCCTGGGGCCTCCCCAGCCCAACAGGCATGACCAGGTGCAGCAGGCAGCAAAGGAACCACATGGGGATTACTCACTGCTGCTCACCCTGTGCTGCTCTGGTGACACACCTCCAGTGCCTGCTGCTGCTTTGAGGGGAACAGCCCCATGCCACTTCCCTCATTGCAGCCCCACGCACAGGAGGCGCGTTGTCGGGGAAGCACAAGGTGATCAGTGGTAAAATTCCTGCACAGGTCCTCTGTCCCCAGTCATGCCAGGTCAGGATTTTTTTTGGTTTTTTAGCAGAGAATTTTTTATTTTTTTTTAGCAGACAATCTGTCATCTTTTTATCATGGAAAACCAGGATCCCTGTTTATAACACTTGATTAGACTTTAACGTAAGAAAAATAGAGAGCTGTGGATCTAACTTGCATCTTGTGGCCATAACTGATCAGTATGAAGTAAACGTGTTCATTATAAAATCATGCACTCTTATTGTTAAAATACATTCTGATTCTTCAAAGCAACATTCCAGTTGGTTTATTTTTAATGACCTTTGTACCAACTCATGTCAATCTATGTTGGCATCTGTTTTTCTTTTTTTGAAAAACCAAATAAAACAATCCATAGAATCATTATAAATTAAATGTATGCTATAGAGGGAAGGTATTAGAGCCTGCTGAATGGGTGCTGAGATGGAAGAGAGAGGGGACCAGGAGAGAGGGAATAGTTTGAAGCCCTCAATCCTAAGCTGCCAGACTGTTTCAATCGCTTTCAAAATTACTTATAAATATATTCAAACAAGTAGGACATAATAAACATTCTTTCTCTCTTTTTTGACTATCAGAAACTATTGTTACAGGACACATGCTGGGGTGTTAGGGTTTTTTTTTCCCCCCTTTTATCCCCACTGTTCATGAATACACTATTTAATGTCCTATTATGTTTTGTTGCTGTATATAAACTTATATTATCATAGTTTCCCATAAATATAAATAGGTATGTTCCAGACTATAGGAGGAAGGAATCTGATAATGACCTGATGAAGTATTTTTATAGTTGACATAGTCTGTGGTGTTTGCTTATAATTTGTAGATCGACTGGCATTCAAGGAAATTCCAGAGTAGTACAATCTATTAAGACACATAATAAGGCACAGAAACTGGTAACTGGAATTATAGTTTTGTTCCATATGTCACTTTCTCCTTTATGAGCCCAGATCTGCGGCTGAATCGCATATTTCATAAGATACTGCTGCCAAATAATCAATGTTGCATTGCTTCGCCTCACAAAAAAGGGAAAGAAACCATAATGCATTATGGAAAAGATGCCATCCAACTAAGAATTGCAATCCTTGGAGAAGGAAGGGACCAAGTTGTTTATTTAATGCAGTGCATTAGCCCTTATTGTCACCTGACACATTCCTAGAACACTTTTTTGCTGAAAACTTGAATTTACTTATGGAATTTTCCTGTGGAAAAGTATGTTGCTTCTGTAGGCATCAATGGGAGACAAAAGCATCAGAGCAGCTGTATAATTATTTTACATAGTTTTTTTTAAAGTACTCATTCTTTCTACCAATTTTTAAAAATACCATCATTAATACTAATTTGTTTTTTATTCCTTAGGATTCCCCAGAGTTTGATTTACTATTTGAAAATGCTTTTGACCAATGGGTAGCAAGCACAGCTTCTGAAAAGTGCACATTCTTTCAGATTCTTCATCACACTTGTCAGCGGTACCTTACAGACAAGAAGCCAGAATTTATCAACTGCCAATCGAAAATACTGGGAGGTGAGTAGATCAAAATTGAAATACTTAAATATAGTACAGCACTTTCTACATGAATCAATAATCTGTCTATATATTTTTTTCTTAATATGCATTAGTGGAATAAAAAATGTTCAAGCAGTCAGAGCATGTATTTGGTGGATTCTGCAGCTAAAAACAGTTTTGTGTGTTTGCACAAGGGAAGAATTTATGTTTAGTCGCCGTAGAATTCTTTCTGATGCAATTACTGATAATGCTAACCATTGAATTAAGAGCTGACATTGGTCATTTTAAATAGCTGGTTTACTCAGCAGAATAAGAAGTCACTCAACTGAAGGATTTTGCAGAATTTTACCCTATAAGGAAGTGAAATTATAACTTTCATAGTACAACTTTTCTGTTTCCACCTCCTACATCCCCCAATTTTAATTTGTTTTTCTTGAAAGCAACAAGACAAATAAGTATTGTTCTTTTTTTTTTGTACTGCCTCCTTTTCTCTCAGTTCTTCAGAGCGCTGAGTTAGAAGTCTGAAAAACGAGTTCCTTTCTTCATTGATTTTGTTCTTTTCCATTTAGCAAACATTGATTTTTTTTTTTCCTTGTGCTCCTGAAAGAGCTAAATTAAAATAGCTGTTGTTAAACAATAACTTCTTTTGTTTGTTCAGAGCCAAAACATCTTTGTTCCTTAGCATTATTACATTCAGCACAGTTGTATGGAGTGTCTGTCTGAATTAGCGAGTTGCTGCATGAGAGAGAGCACTTTCTGAATAATTTGTGACTTTTTTTTTTTTAATACCTTGTTGCAGATACTTGTGGAATGAGCCCTGGTGACATATATCTGGCCGCTGGCACACCTTAACTTAATGGCATGATGGCATCTATACCCCAATCCCAACAGTTGCACCTCTTGCCATGCCACACATGTATGGCAGTATGGATGATTTGGGGTTGGGGATCAGATCTCAACCATGCCATTACTACTTGTCAGTGCAGGGGAAGCAGTCAGGATCATGAAGTCAGTCAAACTTGGAGTGGTATGATTCTGGGGCTGGGACAGCCAATCAGCTGTTCAGCAGTTCCTGCCCAGGAATCGCACCAGAGCCAGTTCAAGATTCTGTTGGGATCCACAGGCCTGAGACCGGCAATTAGCTGATTGTGGGGCCCAGCTTCAGGACCACATGCGTGGCAGTTCCAGAGCCCCACCATACGACCAGCATTAAGCTGCATTGCAGGAACTGCACCATGTATCCCATTTAAGGCATGATGGAAACCAGCCACAAAAATATTATACATACTTTGTGAAATAATGTTGTGGCTTACTTCCCATTTGATTATATCATTAATGTTAGTATTTAAAATGGGGTTAACTAGTTAATCACGTCTTAAGCATAATTTCTGCCAGAGAACAAAGACAAAGTATAAGAGCCCCAGTCATCCAATCTGAATTGAGCTGCTTTCAATACAGAGCACAATTTAAGAGGTGTGAGTTTATTCAATTTATGTACTTCTCTCATTTTTGAGGCGATTTGTGTTTGACCAGTGCATGAGCTTGAGCAACCTTACAGCTCTTCTAATTTACTGTAATCATCAATGGCCGAATATCACTAAAAAAGCAGGGTGCTTTGGCCTTTTCCCCTCCTATGGTGGAGATTGGAGAAGTGGGTCATTGCCTGCTTCTGGCAAGAATTCTTGTAGGTGATATCTCTCGTTGACCCAACTGCATGGTTGGGATGGACATAGGCAAGCTTTTGGATATCACAGTACCCTTCCTCAGGCCTTTGGGTTAGAAGTAGGTATTTTTATCTAACCCAGGGATTTTCATACCTCAGTATATTTTCGTATTCAGTGATTTAATAGTGCCACCTTACTATATATATCATTGTTCTTTTTTCAAATAAGTTATGGAATTTAAAATGCTGATGAAGATCCAGAATTGTTTTCCAAGTTGTATGCTTTTATAAGTCGCATCAATATTGCTTATAAACCCATGTGATTTTGATCTCCTCTGAATGGAGTTATATGAGGGTGTTACAGAAAGTATTGTCAATTTTGAAATAAAACCATTTGGTGTGCGTTGATCATTTACTGGACCACATCGCTTCTCTATATAGTTGTAAATGTTCAACAGTGTCATCAGTGTTCACTGCTGCTGTGTAGATTTCCACTCTGTGCACAAAAAGTGCCATTACTTTCTTACAAATTGGCATTTAAAAGTGGAGGTTCATAAAGACTTCAGTGTCCAAAACTTTAATAGCTCAGTAAAGAAATTTTCTTTTGGATGGGATGACAGTTGTCTTTCAACTTGCTAAATATCAAAGGTGGATTGGGAAATTGTCATGTAAAGATACATGCCTTTTTATCATCTCTACTAGCCTGTAATCTATGGACCTATGACATGTGCTAAGTGTGTTCTTTAATCCAAAAATAGAACTCATGAAGGCCTTCTTTATTACATTTTTTCCTATGGAAACCTTTTACACTGGATGAAGTTAAACTTCCATGGAAAAAAAAAAAAAGTCTCTGTTTTGATAAAACAGATCACTTGTTTCCAGCCAGCCTAACCAAAAGGCACTATTTAACCATGGTAAAAATATTCTCCTCTTTACTTTCTTGTTCTATTTTAATTTGCCAAGTCCAGATGCAGAGTGCTAAATATCCAGTTTCTTTTCAGGGATTCAAGAATCTGTTGCCTCTTTTTAGCATATAATTACTAGCTTCTGATGATACAGAAATGTTCCTTTCTATTAAACTGGGCAGAACTTGTCCCTAATGTCAAAGCTTGCTTGTTTCTCTAATATTTCTGATGCTAGCGTTTTAGCTATTCTTCCTCCCTCTTATTTCTCCCCACCACAAGAAATGAACACTGAAGCCTTACCAAGGTTTAACATAATGAGTTTCACTTCCTTTTCCAATTTTGTACTCAAAGCATCCTACCTTTTCTCTTAATGTTAATATTTTGGGATTCCTCTACAGCTCTAATATTTTCTAGGGTTTTATTTACTCACCATGTTTGACATCTGTTTTATATATATATATAAATAAAAAGTAGACCAAACTAGTAATATCCAATTTCAAAGCATATCCATAAAGCATTTCTTGAGTGACACATCAGTGGCGTTGCTGAGTGATAGGTTCCATTTGCCAGGATCATTTTACCAATTGATCATTTATTAATATCTTAGTGGTTCATGGATGCACAGTAGCATTCATGCCAGGTCTGCTTTTCCCCCAAACACTGAACCTAACTCACAGGAGCACCAACCTTGGGATCTCCATTTTTTTTCAAGTTCCGTTTCCCCATGTTACCTTTTTTAGTTGTAGACTAAAAATCATTACTTTTCCGACAATATTGTATAGATTTTTCTTCATGGATCCCCAAGATTTACCAGTAGACCAAGTAAATGTATGCCTACATATCTGAGTCTTTTATTGTTCTTTTTTGTTGCCTCAGGAAAAAAAAAATTCTTAAAGACTACCCAGTGAAATGAGTCCAGAGCAATACTAAAAAATGGAAAAGATTCAGTGATTTTTAAAGGATGTTCCAAAAATACCAGTCCTCGTAGAAACATCTAATTTTTAAATAGCCTATACCACAATTAAGCACTCTTGTTCAGTGGCTTTTTGGAGGGTCGGGGTGCCATCTTGGAATCAGAAAAAAACAAAATTGTACACTAAAAGTCAAACACCTACTATAACATATTTTAATTTTATTACAAAAATATTTTTATCATGATTTGTGTTTGCATAGTGTATATAGGGGTGATTCCATAAAACTCAAAAATAAATTCTTAGTTTGTATATTGTGTGGTATGTGTAGGGTGGGTGTGCGTGGGGGTGTATGGGTGATGGATAGGGGTGTGTATGGTGGGGGTGGAAAAAATCCCCCTCTGTAGAAATCCACTTTTTTTCTCTGTCCTGCCTTGGGACATCCTGCACCCCTCTCCCCTTTCACCTGTGTGCTATTTGATTTTAACTTGGTCATCTACGTGACCAAGAGAGAGAAATTCATGAGGGAGCGGGGAGCTCA